GGAGAGTCGAAAAATAGGATACACATCTGTGTTAGGCCGATTCTTGAATACGCATCAGCTGGATGGGATTCCATAACAGATTAGGTCAGCCCTGATTTGAAGAGTTTAGAAAAAAATTCAAAAGAAGCAAATCAAATTCATAAAATTAAGGATCTTGGAGAAGTTCAAATTCCACCAAAAACCTATGAGGCCCTCAGTGTCCGAATTGAAAAAAGGCCAGATTTGTTGCTGCCCTCTTTAAGGGCGTACAGTAAGTCACCTGCATTATGGCAGAAAATAACGAAAAGACTAGACTTCCTTCCAAGAGTTGGAGAAAACGGATCAACAAATGGCCAAAATAAAAGAGTAGATGTCAGAGATCTGACGTAGGCGAAAATTCATTTGTTAAATCGTACGGTTAAAAATTGGAATGAAATCCCTGCAGCGTCGTTTAGAGCCTTTTCCTGGCTCATGTTGGTGTTTTTAGAAGACGACTTAATAAGTACTTTTGTATGAGCGCTGATAATTTTACGCACAAGCTCAGAATACAGAATTTGTAGATTATTGTTAGATAAAGTGTGTTAGTTGTAGTTGTTAGTTCAGTGCAGTGGAAAACTACTTTAATTAGTTAAATATGCATAACCAAAGAAAGATGTAGTGAAAGTGTAGTGTAGTGTAGTGTTTAATGTATTTTGAAGTGAATGAAGTGCGACAAGTACACGTGGGAGCAAATCTAAATGCTTAAAGAGCTAACTTTAAAAAATTCCACATTGTGTTTATATATTTTAAAAAAACAAATTGTGTAACTTGTTAATTTTTATATATATGTATGATATGTGCATGTTTACTAGGTGCTAACTAAATAATATGTTCTCATTTAAAATGTTAGCGCATGTATAATATGTAGGGCAAGTGTGTGTGTGTTCGTGTTATGTGTAAACGTGAGAGTTGAGCATTCATGTATAGGAATGTATGTGTAGTATGTATGCATTGTGTGTGTATATACAGTCCCTGGTCATATTTATTAGACGCACTCCAAATTTTAACCAAAATGTTATGTTTGAAGTCTCTCACTGCAAGTTAACAATTACATCTGGCATTGTTGTTGAATCAATCATAAAAACAAAGCTTCTTTTTTCTTCATTAATTAACACATTATTTGTCATATGTACCATTGTTAATTTACACCTCATTGTTGCTTAGACGCCACAAATTAACAAGAGTTCGCTGTAGGCGTAGAACAAGAGTGACATGATAGTGTGTTCTTGCATGAATATAGTTCTTGCATGAAGGATTTTCCATTATTAGTTTCGTGAAATAGTATAGCCGTGTTTGTTTAAAAATGTGAATTGTTGTATACGAAAAAAGTGATGATAGTTTGAATAAAAAATAATGGGAAGGGCAAGTGATTGTGTCTCCTCGCAGATCGCAGCAGTGAAAGCTCTTTGTGCGACCACAGAAAAATTATTTCAAAATCGTTGAGATATCTCGAGGTTGACGTCATCCGAGACATCTATTCCCGAATTAAGAAAAAAAAAATTGTTCTGGTGAGAATAATCTTCCTCGAATAGAAGAACACATGTTTTGGTTCAGGAAGAAGAATATTTTCACCAAGATCTGAAGAGATGTTGAAGGAAGATTTGCCACGAAAATCGGTTTGCTACTAACTAAACAATAAAAAATTTTAAAATTTGGAAAAATAGTGGGAATCGCATTATTCAAGAAAGCACAGCTAATGCGTGTTTACGCTACTAGAAAATGAATTTTTTTAAAACTTGTAGACTAGCCCAAAAATAACAGATTAAACAGCGTGGTATGAAAAGGAAAAACGGACTTTGCGATGGGCTAAAGAACCTTAAAGAATAAAGATTTGGACTTCTGGAAATCGGTAATAATTTAGTCTAGTGCTTTGTTTTATTAGTTTAATGGCTACCAAAAAATTTAATCTAATGTCATTTAACTTGTATTCAGGTTTTGTTTTTAGCGACCCAATTGTACTTTCGAAAAATTCTAGCAAAAACAAAACAATCAATTGGTGGAGAAGGGCGCCCTGGTGGGAAAAAAAGTATTTCATTCCAGGATGTTGTCCATTCCCAGGGGACTTGTGGAAAAAACCCATTACAACTTCAAGGGGGCCAATTTGGGAAAAATTTTGGTCAAAAAATTTTCTTCTCTTTTTTTTTCTTTTTTGGTATTTCGTTAGAAATAAAAAAAATACATTTTTCGTCGCAAAAACGTGATTTTTATTGAAAATTTAGGATGCGTCTAATAATATGGCCAGGGACTGTAAATGTGTGTGTGTGTGTGTGTATGGATGTATATATGTGCCATAGATTTATACAGGTCTGTGTATGTGTTTATATATTGAGTGCATATGCTTGAAACATGTGTATTGTAAATTGTTTTTATATGGTAAATTGTTTTTGTATTATAAATGTTCATATATTGTAAAACTGTAGGGTTGTGGCTACCACCTAGCAATCAGCCAATTGTAGCAAAATAAATATTATTATATTATTATTATTAAGGCGAATCATTGGCGTTTTAGCCCCTGTCTACAGTTCTGTCACACTTCATTGCATAGTATGAACTATAACCCGTTTCTTCAATTAAGTCTTTTAAGCAGGATATTCGGTTTTTTGATCTAGTTCATATCATGCAATTAGAGAGTTATATAAGCAATATGCAATGAATTTAAACTTCGTCATTCATGGTCGACATGTATACGATAAGTGAACACTTAAGTAATAAGCATTAATAAGTGACGCCTTATGAGTTTCGTATTCATAGACCCCACTTATTCGAGAGTCGCAATAAGGCAATATTTCGGTTCATAATATTGGGCAATGTTACTTTATTGGTTACTGAAAACGAATCTATAAGGCCGTTTTAATCTTCATTACAATTTCGGTGTTTTTTAGAGCGTATGAGTAGCATCTGGTTTCATCGACAGACTTTCAACAGACAAGTAAGTATTAATTTCATTTCGTTGCTTTGATGCGTTAAGTCCTGGGTGGATAATTGCTAGTGGTAGAATTTTTCCGGTTTGCGTGATTAGTAAGTATATTTATTGGGGTATATCCGGAGTTTAGGGTGCCGCCGGTTCATTTGGTTCACTGATCCGGTTCACTAGAGGGGAATCGACTCACTGAACTGAATCCTTGTTTACTATTCGCGTGTTGAAATGTTCACCATGTTATCGCAAGTATTATAGTTTCTATTTAACACTCACATGCTGCTTGACTGAATACGGCCTAATAGGTGCCATTCTTAGATAACACTTGTTTGTTGAGTTCCCTTATAAATGTCTCAATAGATAAGAATTAAGTGGATTACCTCTACAGAATTGAATAATTGAAAATTGAAAAGTGGCGCAATTATAATACTTCTAAGAAATATGAATATTTGTCAGGGTCTTCTTAATTGAACAAGACTGATTGTTCATAACACGTATGAAAAATGCTTACATTTGAACATTATTACAAGGCTAAATACAGGACAACGGGTGTTCCTTCCTCGAATTGACCTCACACCATCTAACTCTACTCTCCCTTTTAGTTTTAGAAGAGGACAATTCCCAGCCTTGCGTTTTGTTCGCCTTGGATTATGCATGACAGTTAACAAGGCTCAGGGTAAACAAAGTGACAAAGTGACAAAAGTGACAAAAGTGACAAAGTGAGATTCTATATGCCTAAATCCGCTTATAGTCATCATCTGTATGTGAGCATGTTCAGGGTACGTTCCTTTGAAAATATTAAAATTCAATTACTACTAGGAAACAAAACAATGAACATTATGCATAAGGAAGTGTTGTAATAATTATATAGATAAAAATTGTGTTTTCGAAACCTGGATTCAATTACGGATATGCGCCATTTTGCTGGTCATAGAATGAAGTCCATTGAGACTGATGGTTGGGGCCACTGGAGGTGAGTGTTTATTTATCAAACAATCGGCTTTGTTTGATTATATTGAATACTGTCTTATTGTTTTTGTTCTTACTCGTCGAACAGGGTTCTTTAAAATTTTAGACGGAAGGTTTTTTAAATCTTTTGTTTCATATCCACAGAATGATTGTTGGAATAAAATATTTACTTGTTATGGAATAAACTATTTAAAAATTTATATCTAAAATGTTTAAGGGATCTGTTCTAAGAGTAAAGATAATTGATTTTGTGGTGCTGCGTATTATTGAGTCATGTCTGTAAAAGTGCATATTTGCAGAGAAATAAAAATGAGTATTAAATAAGAAAAATGCTCTTCTTTCTAAGTAAGAATTTACATTGTGAGCATTAGTCTGGGCACAGTATTTTATATTTTTCTCAAACCTCACCGTCAAATTTTGACGAGTTCCCACTTAGCAAATGCTTAATATATAATAAAAGTTATAGGACCTTTGATTTCGTTGGCCCTCTTGAGTTCCAGAGGTCCCCTTAGAATTCATGGCGTTGTACCGGTTGCATACCCCTCTTCATGAACATAAGTACACCTCCCGAAACCCGAATTCACCTGCTGACAGGAGCAAAATTCTAGCAGCCGGCGGCATTGGTCGTTAGTTTTCTGTGTATCCTATCAAAACCAAGTGAATGACGGGGCAGTACCCCTGCCCTGTCACGGACGGCGCGCGACATTTTCTTCTTCTTCCTTTTTATATCCTCACCTCTTGAATCCATTCTCTCACTTACACTTATTTACACTAAACTAGAAGAATCTAGTAGACTTTACTACACTACAAGACTAGTCGCAAGAGCATGCGGGGGGTTTAAGCTTGTTCTGGTTTGGGCGGTCCTTGCTGGTAGAAGATACCTGGTTGTGCAAAAACCCGGAAGCCGACACATAGGTCGGTATCAGATCTCTTTCCAGCGGGGAAGATCACCACTACCTGATAAAACATGAACTCTCACATATCTAATGACAACTAAATGTGATCCGTGATAAAACATGAGCTACATTTTCGGGGCTGACCACATCAGTTGACGCACTCGGAATGGAGCAAACCCTTTCCGGCAACTTCACTTACCGTCCTCCGAGAGCGGGCAGTCGCCCCAGGGGCCCGCCTGGCCCACGATCTCGTAGAGCACGATGCCGAAGGAGTAGACGTCGGCCTTCTGCGAGCCGCGCGGGGGCGGGAAGGGCGCGCGCAGAAGCTCGGGGGCGCGCCACAGGCGGCGGCGGCGCTCATGGGCCGCGCTCTCCGCCTCCGCCTCCACCTGGCCCCCGGCTGCACACACGATACAAAGGAAGCTGAGCGCCCCACACGATATATTTTAACCCTAGCAATGCAAAGTTAAAATAATAATTTCGTACGCTACCGAGGGAAAAGGGTTCCAGGGCCCCCACTTTAAATTTTCAATTTACTTTCATGTTTACTCCCTTAAAAGTTCTACAATCGGAAAAATCTTTTCTCATGAATATTTGTATTTAAACACTTACATTTAATGACAAAACCTGTTAGATATTAATGTCAATTAACGGTCAACGCATCGTAACAGAAATATATTTAACATATTTTAATGAGACTTAAAATGCTTAAAATATTTCCCACATGTGTTCTGAATGGTCAGTTTTCGGATGAATAGCCCTGGCTTGTTTTACCCATAGCTAAAGACACTGTAATGACTCTCATATTAGCAAACTCTTGTTAAAATGTCATATTTTCAACAAAAAGTACAACATGAACAATATCAATAATTTTCAGTTTTCTAAAAATACAAGAAGTTATGAAAACAACTCGGTGGGTCTCTGAGGCCCCTTTTGATAATATTTGAGTTAAATACCATTTATACTGCCAGTGTAAAATTTGTTACTATTAACACTTTTCTAGAAAATCATTAACTAAAAAATTTTGATATTTTCAAGACTTGCAACTACAGCCTTTATTATTTTGACATTTATTTGTGGTGACAATTACATTCTGCACTTGTAGTAACACACGCTAAGGAAGACTATATTCTAATTAAACCAATTCCAGATGTCTATCGCTGTAAAATTTTCACTTTAGTCACTTTGTTCTCTCCGCTGTAATTACTTTGTTTACCTTTTACTTTCCCGTGTACATACGTATATACGGAGTAGTATAGAATTTTCGGCAGAAAAAATTTCATTTCCTGTTCCTGGTAACGAAAAATAAAATAAATCCAGTTGCTAAATTATGGAAGAAAATCCTCTAGCACATAGTGTAACTAGAATTCCATGTTCAGTAGGTCCTTGATACCGAAAAATCAATTGATGGCAAAACGTCCGTCTGTCCGTCCGTCTATCCGCCTTTCTGTTCGCCCATTCGTCCGTCTGGTGCCTGTGAACACTACTAGCCAACCATCAGTTGGATTTTTTCCAAATTGAAGAAACTCCTGTCCTTCTGGCTAGAGTCCATGCTTTGAGATTTTGAAAAAAAAATCTTTAAAATTTGTACGTACTTAACATGAACCCCGGGCATTTTCCAAATTTTCTCAAAAACGGCTCCTATTTTTTTAAAATTCTTAAAAGAATAGGGTAGCATACTTTCGACAATGCAATACAATCGAAAATACTTTCGACAATAACATAAAATCAACAATCGGACCTTTCCCACTTTTATAAAAGTGGGATAGATCCGATTTCCACAGTTAACTGAATTTTCGGTAATTTCAAAAGTATGACTTTTTCGGCATCTTTGTACTACTACAAATATAAAGATATAGATTTTTTCTTGAAATCAATTATTTGTCCATAAATAGGTCTTTTATTATAGCCATATACATTTTTTGAAAATCTTAGTAGTTCCGTACAAAATTGTGACCAACATTCGCAATTTTAAAAAATAACAAAAACACGATTTTCACAAAAAAAATTCCAAATTTTTTCTTCAAACTTTTTATAGGGATAGAACTAAATGTACAATAAACGATGACATAAAACGTCATATTTCTCTATTATTTTGTTTTTGTCAAAAATAGCAAAAATGTTATTTTCCAGACGTTTCTCTTACGTCGTTAATATTTACATTAGCTGCAATTTGTTGACACTTATGAGTACATGTGCTTAAAAAAAGCATATAAATTTTCTAAAAAACAACAATTTTCTGTGAAAACTAGCTCAAAATTACGCATTTTTAGAAACGCTCAAACAGTATTTTCACAAAAACGGATCCAATTTTTTTCCTTCAAACTTTCCGAAAGAATTGTGCTAATTGCACTCTTTTATATAACGATATGTTCATTTTGAGGAATTCTTTTGTTTTAAGAAAATTACAGAAATGTAATATTTTGAAAGATCTCTCATACTACTAGTTTAAAATAAAGATATAAATATTTTTAGGTCCATAATAGCTTGTGAACATCACTACAAAGATAATTACAGAGTACTACGGATAGCACAGGCTTTCCCATCTTAGTTTTCTATTTCCTTTGTTCTTGGCTAGCTATACGTACTTGCCACATACTCTTGCCAGTAGCCATCTATATCGCCCAAAAGTACATTTTTTTAATATTTTCCTACGTTTTCGCGTTTATCCTAATAGTAGCAAAATATTATTTTATGAAAATTAATGGACAAGAAAACCTCGTCCCAAAGTGTAATTTTCTTCGAAAAATTCGCAGTAATTTTCAAGAAATTGGCGTTTAACCGTTACTGTAATCTCGAAATTTGAAGATCTTTCACAAAACATTTTAAAGATTTTTGAAAAAGTCCATTCGATATCATTTCAAACACAAAAACTTTATAATACAATAGTGTTTACAAATAGCGGGAAATGTACATATTACCGGCTTAAAAGAATACATTAGAGTATTTCTTAAGAAACAAAACGCAATACATTTTACGTCATATTAAAGAGTGCAATTACCACTATCCGTTCTAAAAGCTTGAAGGAAAAATTTAAAGCCAATTTTGAGAAAATGGTGTTTTAGCTAGTTTTCACAGAAAACATTTGTTTCCGAGAAATTTTATATGACAATATTGAAAACACTCATCAACATTAGAATGTGAACAATCACCGCTAGTGTAAATATTAACAACGGGAGAGACAAGTCAAGAAATTATATTTTTATATATTTTGAAATAGCAAAAGAAATGAGCGAACGTATGTTTACGACATCTCATAGAGTACATTTAACTCTATCCCTACTAACAGTGTAAAAAGAAAAAAATAATTGTGGCCAATGTTTGAGAAATCGTGTGTTTGTTATTTTTTTAGAATTACAAATATTGCTCACAATATTGAGCAAAATGTACAAAAATTTGAAAAAATGTACATGGACTTAATAAAAGCAGCAGCATGAAACGTGTTTGTTAAGCGTGTTAAAAATGTATAAATGTCTGTACTTAGAGAAAATGAAATAAAAGTAAGAACAATGCAATTGATGTTGGAAACAGATGTTCAATAAAGGTTTATTCAGTATTATATAGATATGTTCTTCCAACAAATCGCACTTCCTTAGAAACAACATTTCACGTAATTATTCAATCCTTCTAGAGTCAGTCAGTTCCTTAAGTCAGATTTTTGCTTTCCTTGATAGTTACAAAAATATTAGAAAACGTTTTACTCTTGTGGAAGCCTCTTGTGTATAGTTTTCCGTGCGAATATACAGGATCGGGCAACAAGTACAACCCTACTCTTTGCAATATAATTCAACTTTCTTGGATTGGTGGTTAGGAACAGAGGGGGATTTTGGAAAGGCAGGGCGCGAGCTTGTTGGGATGCGAAAATTACAAAATTATTTGTATACTAAAATGTATTAGATTCTTTTATACGTTCTTCGTACGTACTTCAAAAAAAGCAATTCCAGAAAATAATAAACCTAATATTTTCATCTTTGAGTAATAAATTTCATTTATTACCATTAAAAACAATTCAGTAAGCTTAGAGTTCACTTCGGTACATGGGAATGATTGTCAAACGAGGTTTACGTATTGAATATCTTAGTGAACTAACACCTTAAGTTTAAAATCAATCGGGGTATTATTTACAATATGAGTTTACAGCTGAACACTGATGTACAATCTTCCAGATACCACCAACATTTAAACCTGAATCATGATCGATGGTAGTAGTCGAATGACTTTAGTTAATTTAATTTGATGTAATGATATAATGAGTTTAGTTTATTTAAAAAGATTTTTGTTCTTTTTTTATTTAAGGGTCATTAACAACTAAGCATATAGTATTTATAGTATATACAATTACAATATGAAATATAGAACCACATTAATTATCATAAACAGTTCGAAAATACAATACAAACAACTCAATACATACAAAAAATGCTATACATAGAATAATTCAACAAATACATACAAGATACGTATGCACACACAACTATACAACAATACTATACTATACAACACACGTATGATAAGTAGTTCCTCTAAATGATATTGTAAATATTGATTTCCTTCACGAAACCACTAATTCTCTTTTGATAATCTTTTGAGTTAATAATGTTATCATGTCTGCAATTGGCGTTTTTGCCTGCTGCTTTTGTATAGAGGACACTAAATTAGAATGTATGTGTTTTACATTTAGAAAAACATTACAATGGTCCCATTTAGGAGTGTTTTCCCGTTATTATGTGAGTATGCGTTAATTTAGAATGTTCCGTTCTCGATCTTGAAATTACTATCTGATCTTTCCGTGGGAATTTTTTGGATAGTTTTAAAGACATACTTTTGCAGACCTTTTTATGTTTCACTTGCCAGTTTCAATTTCTATCTTTCGAATCAGATATTTTGCATTCGGTTAAATAAATAGTTCCAACAGTCCTTGAAAGTGTTTGAAATTTTTGGACCACCTGCAGATGTTCCAGGGGTGATCATTTCTTCATAGAGCGAAGGTGTGCAGTCAATGACGCCCACGAAGGGCATGATTCACGATAAAATTATGTTTTCCTGACTGTGTTAGATCATAATACAATTCATGGATTAATACTGCCATTTCATTTTTAGGATGGTTGCTGTTTGTAGTACATATTGCTTCGAGACAACTAGAGAAAACAACGAACTTCATGGAGTTAAGCGATTTGATTAGCTTGAAGGCTGCAAGCAAAGCGTGTAATTCTGCTGTGGAGGTTTTAGCATATAAATTTAGTTGTTGATTTATTTCTATTTCTTGAGTATTTACAATAGCAAAAGTTCCATTATTGTTTTTCATCACCTTAGAATATATTTTATAGTAGACGGTGTATTTATTGATGAATCCTTTTACTTTGAATTTCCAATCTTTTTTAGATCATATATTTTCTAGTA